GTGGGGCTCCAGAGGCTCCTCCCTCCGGTTCTTTGTTCAGCCGGGAGATTCACCCCCTCCCCATTGTTAGCGTCCTGCCCCAGACCCCGCTGCTGTGCTTCAGCCCCCCTGTCCCCGCATTCCTGAGGCAGAAGTAGCTCGGTGCTGGCACAGGAGGTTGGGGACACCATGGCCTGTGCAGTTTCCTGTTTGTGAACTGTCCTCTGCCGAGGCTGGCCGGTCTGACCCGCCCTGGGCCAGAGGAGGTGACTTGAGATTCCTCCCCAAGCCACTCCCCCTGACTACGGGGAGGATTCCCTAGGGGTTGGCTGACTGGACTGATCCCCTCATCCTGGCCTCCCTGGGGATCTAGGGCGCCCCTGGCTGCAGGGAACTCTGCCAGCTCTTCCTGCCCTACTGCAGGCCTCCCCCTGGTTGCACCCTTTCGTATTTGCTGCAGATGAAGGATTGGGGGATCGAGCACTTGGCAGGTGGCTAACAAGTCCAGCTCCTGGAATTGTTGAGCTTCTGTCTGGAACAAGAACAGCGATTCCAACCTTAAGAGAAAGGGCTGAGTTGTTTTTTTTTTCAGCAATGGTGACAGTATACACAAGACTCATGCAAACTTAATCAGACAAAAACCAGCATAGAACTGGGGAAATGAACAGAAAGCCGCAGCTTTGGTGAGGCATTATTGGCAGCTGATCACTACTGGGTAAAGGAGACTTGATCTTTTTTTAAAAAAAAATATTGTATTTATTATTTTAATTTTATGTGTATGAGTGTATTGCCTGCATGTGTGCAAGTGCACCCGTGCAATGCAATGCCTGCGAAGGTCAGAAGGCAGCGTCAGGTCCTATGGACCTACCCGATGGCTGTTAGCCACAATGTGGGTGCTAGGATTCAAACCCAGGCCCCTTCTGCAAAAGCAGTAAGTGCTCTTATCCGCTCAGCCATCTCTCCAACCCCAGACTTGATCTTCTTTAATGGAGAGATGCTAGACAGGCTGAACAGGCTCCAGTGGATGAACTCATACAGAGGGACATCAGGGTTCACAAACAATAGACCTTAACATATATGACAAAATGCATGAAGTCCTGTGGGTAGACTATGGGGCAGGGTGTAGATAGTGAAGGGGGCTCTAAATATGACTAAGAGTGTATGAAATCCACCAAACTTCAATTAAAAAACATATTTGAAAAAAAAAAAGAAGAAAAGAAAAAGGCCAGATATGGTGGCACTGGCCTTTAATCCCAGAACTCATTAGGCAGAGGCAGGCAGATATGTAGTTCAAGGCCACCCTGGTCTACATAGGGAGTTCCAGGCCAGCTGGGGCTACAGGGAGACCCTGTCTCAAAAAGTCAAGAAAAAGAAAGTTGAGCTTGTTCCAGGCTACCCCATAGGTAAGTTGAGAATTGATGGGACTCAGAGGAGGTAACTTTTTCCGTTCCCCCAGTTGAATTAATACCAAAATTCACAATTCTTAAACTCACAATTGGCCTTCCCAGAGTACTAAACAGAGCCTTAGTATTGTACAAGGTTATGCTTTTGTTTCTTAGCAGGAGTAGAAGTAATACCAGTGTAGAGGTATTTCTTCAAGTGGAGGGGATTCCTAGGGAACTGAGCAGTGTATGCCCTGTGACACATTTATAGAGGGATCCTAAATTACTTTAGAGAACAAAAAGGTCAAGGAACTCTGTCTCCCTTCCAGGGGAAGTGAATTCTACTCTAACTCTCTGGAATGTGGCACCACTTCCCTTTCATATACAGACTTGCTAAAGCACTTCTGTGTTGTATGTTTTTAAAAGGAGTGATGTCTTATATCTGAAGGTGTATAACCTTACCCAATAATGTTGGAAATTAAAGAGGGGGGAATATTTTCTAACTTCTGTCTTCTGTATTATCCAAGTCTAAGAAAAGAAAATAACTTTGGATCTTGGTTTTTTGGGGTTTTTTGTTTTTGTTTTTTGTTTGTTTGTTTGTTTGTTTTTCGATTCTTGGTTTTTATTTCAGAATGATAGCACATTGTATTCAAGATTAAAATATGCAAAAGGAAAAGATAAGGAGTTTAACTTTTCTGAATCTTGCATAATAACTTTTGTTCTGACTGATATTTTGGACAGATTCTTTGCCATTATGAAGGTATCTAATTATTTTTTATAAAACACATACATTTTTCTATGCCTAGTGCCCAGCAATGTGTAGCACATGGGACTCAGAAATACTTGTCTAGTGGATGTAATAAAGTCTGCAATCCATAAATTCTTACAGTAATCAGAATTGTCATTATTAGCACTAGAGAGACTACAAACTTGTATTTCTGTATCTTAACTAAGGTTGTTTTGGACCTCTTGAATACTTTGTATCAAAAACATTGCAGAAGGAAGAGTATTTTATAGTTTCTCAGCTTATTTGTAGAATGGGCAGGAAGCGAGGAGATGGGACAGGAGAATCTGTTAAAATGTACATTCTTCAAATATGTTATGATATCTCTAATACTTTGTATGCTAATTATTAAAATAAGAATTAAAAAATAAATAACAGCCCCCCAAAAATGGCACAAAAGAAGCCCCACTTAAAAAAAATAATGAAATACTATTTTCAGGGAAAAAAACCATTTTAATATTGCCATTTTTCATCGTGTTTGTCTCGGAGCCTAGATATTTTTAATATTGAAACATGACAAAAGAAGTACAACGGTATATCAAAGGGGACCTGCTGCTTTCCCTGTCAGTACGTCTTTTCAAAGCTGGATGCCAGAGTCTTATTAACAGCAGTAACTGTTAGAAAAATGTGGTAATTTGACCAGTAGGATTTGCTGTCAGCTGCTGGGTCAGTTTTGAGGGCACCGAAAAGAAAGGGGCAGCCATCTGTCCATGACAGTGTTACCTATGTCCCTACACTGCAGAAATCAATGGGATCCTTATCTTAGGCAAATTATGGAATGATATGGAGTTTTATATACAAAGATAAGACACAAAATTATTTTCTCTTTATAAAGTTGTGTGTGTGTGTGTGTGTGTGTGTGTGTGTGTGTGTGCTGAATGCTTAGTTTATTTTGAGGGAAGGTGTATTATTTTGAATTTTAAGTCTTAAGTAAAAAGTATAACTTAGCACCAACAAGCTAGCTTTTGAGTCAGCATTGGATTTGGGGGGCCTACATTTATGTTAACTAGATGCTCAAATAGCCACATTTTTTCTTCTTTATAAAGAGAAGTTAAGATGCTCTAAAATGTGAAAATAGTACAATTATGGGTAAGGGAACATCTGAGAGAAGCAGCTTGACCGAAGAGGAGAGGCATCACGACAATCTGCCGTCAGTGTCTGCTTTGCTAAATCAAAGTGACGATTGTTGAGAATCATTTTGTTCTGTGTGCTTTAGGTGAAGCCGAAACATTTGTCTTGCATTGGAGTCTGCTGTTCTTTGCTGGCCACTAGAATAGTGGAAGAAGAAAGCAATGTTCCATCCATCCATGATGTGATCCGGATCGGTCAGTGTAAATGTACAGCTTCTGACATCAAACAGAAATAATTTCAAAAAATTGCACTATGAACTGGAAGCTGCTACTGCCTTAAACTTTTTGCACTTATACCATAGTCTTGTATTTTATCATACTTAGAAAGGTGAGTGGGACTAAGCAAAATTGTATTGCTCGAACTAAATAGAAAATTAATGCTGACATGTTTGTGTTTTAATTTCCTCTCAACTTTCAACTTGGACTTGAGTCCTGAAAAGTATTTACATTTCCAAAATTTAATCTTTTTCCTTTGCATTGTATAGGAAGGAAATACTGAGCCTTGCTTTCAAAAGCAAAGGTAAATCTTTTTCTGGTTTTCTATGTCTCAGAGTTTCTATTTTGTTTTTCAAAATGTTTATTTTTTATAGATAGCTATCCGTATTAGTTTTGTGCCTTCTCAGTTTAGAAATAGAAATGTTAAAATCTATTGAATTAGTGGAAACTCTCCTGCTTGTTAAAAAACATTTGAAGGTGGGGCTGGAGAGATAGCTCAGCGGTTAAGAACAATGGCTGTTCTTGCAGAAGACCAAGATTTGAATCCCAGAACCCACATGGCAGCTAACAGCTGTCCATAACTCCAGTTCCAGGGGATCCAACAGCCTCTTCTGTCTTCCGCGAGCATTGCATGACACGGGTACACTTACCTACAAACAGGCAATACACGTGTACACATAAAAATAATAAAATCCCAGCACTTGGGAGGCAGAGGCAGGCAGATCTCTGTGAGTTCAAGGCCAGCCTGGTCTGCATAGTGAGTTCCAGGACAGCTGGGGCTACAAGGAGACCCTGTCTCA